TAAGTCCTGAGCTGAAACAGAAACTAATTTCGGCTAAAACATGATGACTTCAGAATAAGCTAACAGATTGCAAGTTGTTACAGTCTGTGCGACCATCTACAGGGCAAAGCTTTAGACAGAGCTGAGAAATGACTGCTGAAGAAGCATACGAAGGAAAATACAACTTTTTTTTTTTTAGCTGAGCCCCTTTGACGGCCAAAGTTGTGCCCTATCGGTTCTCAAAGTATCAAAAGCACGCTACAAGATGTCGTCGATGCGAACACTCAAGCCAAATTAGTAATCTTCGAAGCAGTTTATTTCTAGTCAGATGTACGTATCTCTTTCAGCCGTATGACGTGTATTTAGATGACTTGTATGGATTACGGAATTAAGACGTTAACGTTACATAAAAGATTTATTTTTTATATTCTAAACTCGATGAATGTTTGCCAATATATTCTTATCTATCTATGACCTTCGGATGTTGAGCTGATATGTCGAACTTTATTATCGTTTTAAAAGCTGGTCGGAATTCGATATTGCCAGCTTCAAGTTCCTCATTTTTAAACGCGCAAAGTAATCTAAGTTTATTATCGTAACCCTGTCTGTGCGCAATTGCGTAGCTATTGCGTTTTGTGAACCGAAAATTCAGTTGTGGTCGCCGTACGGTCTCGCCACCCTTTCTTGTAGTTTCGCCTAAGTGGGTCAGGGTGCCAGTGAACTTGCGAGCCGCCTCTGTAGCCATTTCCAGGACAGAAGCGTCATCACCATCGTCATGTCAGACTCTACCATTATCGCTGGCGTAGCCTCTGGCAACGGCGGCAGTGGCCGTCGAGTTGAGAGAGCGCGCGGACGTCAAAATACGGCCAGCGTCTTTCTAGCGACTCCAGCAATGTGGCCGCAATGATTCTAGTTGTCATTAAGTAGAGTAAGGTGAATGCGTTACCGCTACAAAATATAACTGATCATCTTCTATTCGGGCTGTTGAATCATAACTAGCAACTTATTTAGCTACTTGGCCCGGTTTGTTTTCTTTCGAATGACTTTAGACAGCAGTAACATCTATTATAACCTTTTTTTTATATTATTTCTAATAATTATACTTTTTAGGTTAGGATTGATACAAATGAATCGTCACACCTGTTGTCCCGCAAAGGCACTAACAATGCTGCTCTAAAAATGTACGTCAATATTATACGAGACTACCTAATTTCATACCTGTGAATTTTTTTTTAAATAGATGTTTTACTTACTTTTTAATAGACGCTAATCGTATCAAACCCCTTTATCTGATTATTTGTTTGTCTTTTTGCTAGGGCGCGCTGTTTGTGCCACCATCTGCTAGAAACATGGTTCTTTTTGACGAATGACTAGCGCTGCATTTACACAACTCTTACTTCAGATCAATAGTAAGCACTGAAATAATGTTTACGTAAGACAGGCTGTGGGGTACGCACCGCAGCCCACAAATTCTGGACCGGCAAAGCAGTCCTTAGAGGAAAAGAGCGACGTCTGCTGTTGCCACTACCCCCATCAACCCCTGTCATGGTTCGCCTCGTTGTGACAGTGTACTTGCACACACACAACAGGAAAGTGGATCAGGGTTCTGGCCGCCCTGGTCGTCATACTGGGATTGATAACCTCCTCGATTGTAAAACGCAGAGAAAGCAAAATAACCTAGAGCAAACAGCCCCAGGAGGTCTGACACTGTTTCCCTATAGCTATAAGAAAGTATTGGCTCAATGTCTTTGTCGTCCGGATGTGCTTTCAGAAATTTAGAAGCTCGTTTTGAGCTTAATTACCACTGTTTGGAATGACTACCCTTCTATAGTGCATATTCTTTATAGATTATGATTGTGGGGTTGGTCAAGGTAACATTTCTAATGCTGTAGCTTCGTCCAAATAAATGTTAATGAAAAAATCATTTTTTTATTCTTTAATATTCCTCATCTTTGAGAGAATATTAGCATAAAACTCAAAGAAACCTCGAGGACTTCTTCGGTGTGATTCGACCTTTTAATCCACTGCAAATAAAAAAAAAACTTTAGGATGCGTTACATCGTTAAAATTACAACATTTTTTTTTAACAAAATGGAAAAATCCTTAAAGGATCTCTGCTGCAGATCTAGTATCATTTGCGGAGCTCATGATAGTTTTAATTAAGCCCGAATTTTTTTCGAGAACTCTGCTCTGTTGTCCTCAGTCTAAAGTCAAACTACGCTAACTAACTTTGGTATTCGTCTGAGTTGGGAAGCCTATGTTAAGACTACGTACCCTAGCGTACTCCGATGATAGCGTTTAGAAGCGTTTAGATGTACAGCGTTTAGGAGCGTCCTGCTGATTTCCTGCGCTGACCTACCTCGGCACACACTCTACAAAGGAGTTAGATGCTGTTTTTTGAAGGAAAAGCGTAATCTTCCATTTAGAAACGTACGAAGTTATGAATGACACAATTGCATAGCTTTATCAGAATAAAGTAAAGCTCGTGCACATAACAAACCATATTATTTCAGTTAGTTGAGGCGACATGACCATCAACACTGAGTTTAAAATCGTCAGGAAGGACATGTCCCGCCACTTTCATGGTGGAAAGGACATTAAAAGAAGAACATGGAAAAACACCTTGCCTAAAGCACTCCCAGTTTTACGTACCTTTGAATTTCTTAATATCGTATTTTAATGTAGAAGTGTGCGATACAGTCTGAGTATTCTATTAAATTCTGTTATACGATTCTTAAGTAAGTGTCATTTATTATCGATGAATGATACATTGTCTTAACGCTTGTCGAGATACGTTTCTTAACAATATAGATACGCACAATAGAAAATCTACCTGACGGGTTTTTATAGGTCATCGTCGGTCACATCGTCCTCGCCGCTAAGCAGTCTGTATTTGATAATCTAGCTTTTCCAAGCTGAGTTTTTTAATTAAACATGTTGCTAAATCTGTCCAGTCATTAGATAACAACTATTTATCAAAATGTAAGTATCTTGTATATAAACATCTCTTTTTACTTATTTCCTAGCCTTCGTGACTTTATCTAAATACATCGATTTGCCCAATTGAACTTTGAACGAGGCCGTCGGAAACAAGAGGTGCATATACATGAGTAGATGGGCAAGGTCTTTTTGCTCAAAGTTATGTAACGAGCTATTCACTAGTAAGATGAATTACCCTAATGAGTAAAATCCACGTCTAGTTTTCTGTGATTCCCTGTAAAAATGTTACACTTTTTATACTCATACGCCGGAATGGCATAAAGGCAACGCCGGAGATTTCGGACGATTCCGGGTTTTCTGTCCTAATTCCGTAACAAAGCACTTGCGAATCAATACGGTCTTGTACTCGCACATGTTCCAGCCATCAGAAGGGGTCTATTGTAGTCGTTCAACGAGTATTACTAACTCAAGGCGAAGAAATTTTTTGAATCATTGTATTTCGAGTCTTACTTCCAGTAGCACCGTTAAGCGTTCCGTCAGATGGCTGGCTTCCAGCACAAAACGAAGTGTTTCTGTATCGTATTCGAAGTTGAGTTACAACGTCACCCTCCAGTTAGTAGGCAAATACCTCACATACCAAACTACCACGGAAGCAGCTGCTTGAACCTAGAAAGAACGCGACAAAATCAACGACCGAGGTCCAGGGGAGATCCCAGGATTCTTGAGTTCCGTAACGGACGAACAACGTGAAGCAAAGGCCAGCTTCTCCTGTGTATTATCGGTAGAGATGGTAAAGGTGGTGGCGATTTTGCCGGGATTCGGCGAGCACCGCTCGCATACGGGGCGCCTCTTTCTCCAGAAAACGGTTAAGCAGAGCCATTAGATGGGACCACTTCGTGCCTCTCACTATGTCTGCCACTTGTGGGCTGCTGGCGCTGTGCCGCGTTTAGAGCTGACTTTCTTGGCTTTCGTGTCCGCTCTCGCCTTCACCATCGACATCGTCATCATTTCCCTTGAGCTTCCGTCTGACAGCAAGAGCATCCGGTTCCAACATGTTATACTTCTAACAGATGATGCTAATGATGATTATTGTTATAATGATGATGGTGCTGGTGCCTAATGTTCCCTTCCACTCTCTTTCCCATGTGCAATTTTGTCTTCCCTCCTTCACTCGTTCATTCCGATCTGGATCTTACGTACAATGAAAGGTGCTTAGGAAGTTGGCCTAGCGGACAAGCAGGAAAAGGAGTCTGGTGTACTCCCGCTAGATCAGCAAGAACCCGGTTGCCAATGTGATTAGGAGACGCCGGGTCTCACTTCGTTTGGTCTGCTCAAACCTCCTTTCCCAGACTTCCCAGCCGACTAGCAGCCACCCCTCGCGCTCTTTGAGGCCCCTTTTAAAATGGCTCTCACTTTCGGGGCCATTGAACTTGAGCTGCGTTTGTGACCCTGTTTCGGCAATGGTCGTTGCACCAGAGGGGCCAACCAGCCCGGCTGGCCGAGCTGGCAAAATCATGAGATAGACCTGGGTGTGGTAGTTAATGTGTGCGGTGACCATATCGTCATCGCGTCCCTTGAAGTGTCGGAATGCAGGCGCGCGTAGATATCCGCAGATATCTATCTAGCGCAGGGCCAGGGCAGACCACGCACAGGCACAGAGTAAGCTAGAACCCGTTGACCCTTTCTGTACACTCCTTTGGTCCTCTTTCGCCTATGGTTGTGCCAACTCAATACCAACTGTAGATGCAGAGTGACCCAGAAGAGTTAGGATAATTGATGGTCTATGAGGGTCGGGGTTGCGATTAGGCGACAAGACTTTGTTGCTGCGCTGCTGCTTCTGCAACGCAAGGACAATACGACGGATACCCTATCTATTTATAAGGGTCTAGATGAAATAGTTAAAATAATAAGAAAGACGTCAAGCTTCGATGCGTTAACTAAAGAATACGTGGCAAACACGCGGAGTAATAGTGTAATCTCGAAAGTACTATTCTCGACTTAACGAGTATAGCTTCATTCTTTTAGGATTGTAAGACTCTCGCCGCATGGATACTATATTAATTACAACACCGCTGAGAATGTCAGTTTGATCGAATGGCACACGCCGTTTTATTGCTTTTTATGTACATATCGTTTAGGTATTCAGCTTTTTCAATAGTTCTGCTTCAATATACTGTTTTGACAAGAAGATTTTACCTTCGGGTTTTTGTGGCGACAGTCTTTAAGTCTTATTACATCCTTTAAACGCCTTGTATAGGTGCATGTTCATAACAACTTAATATGCCTTTACCATCTTTTTCGGACGCTGTTCGATAGTGCATCGTTATTAGGACATTGGAAGTTGGACGCGATTAACTTCAGCATATCGGGGCGACCTGACATCTGTTACATTCATAGTGTTCTTCTATACTCTATAAAGCGAATTTGTTTCACGCGAATACAAGAGATCTCAAAAACACAGGATTTCATGCATTTGAGTTTTGCTACCGCGTGCGTTTTCCAGCGTAGCATATCATATTAATGGTAATATTGTTTTCATCATCGAATTAAGCTTTGAAGATTAATGCACTTAGTAAACAGGCCTTTGCCGAGAAACTATGATTGATATTAGGCGATAAATGATGCATTGCTGCGCGAAAACTCTCGCCCCGTGAACTTGGGATTATTTCAGGATTGACATGGCCCCACAGGCCAATAATATCTCATCAGCAAAGGTCGCCATTTAAGTCTGGACAGTCTTGGTGTAGAGTCAAAGATCTGTAGGCGCTGAATAGGTAAGCATATGGTTGTACTGGCCTCACAAAGTCAAACGCAGTTTTGACGTTGCGCTTTACCCCAATCCTGTTACTATGCAGGCTACTGGAGGATCGGAAGTGAACGAACCCGAAATGGGTCGAGAGCGGATGGCCTCCTTACGCGGCCGCCGCTACTGTTGTTGTTGTTGTTGCAAACGCAACTAACTCTCTATGGCTGCTGTGTCTCTACAACTCTCCGTAGTTGTCTGTCTGCCCCTTGCGAGCGGCGCGCGCTCTGCGTTTAGTCGTTCTTTGCAGCTGCTGCTGACGCGAGAGGCGCTTTGCCGGCTCGGTATTGGCGACGACGGCGGTAACGGTAGTAAACAGTGTTGGTTTTTAGTGGTGGTCGTTGTGTGGTTCAGCAGTGGTTGAAACGATTGTCAATGATGCGATGGTTGTTGCAGCAGTGGTCGAGGTCAGGTCGGGGAGTCGATGCCCTCTGAATCCAGGTCAGCTACGGCAGAATCAGCGTTTGCCTGCTCGGCAAATCGACCTCTTCTCTTCCCTCCCTCCTCCCCAGCCATGCTCCTGCTCCCCCTCCTCCTTCTCCTTCTCTTATTATTTTATTCTGTTGGTCGCAAAATACAACACAGTCGCATGGGGCATGGCCCTCGTCGACTCTACTGTTAAGCCCCGCGTCCTAAACGCCATTATCTACCGGCCATAACTGCGCGCGCGGATGTACTAGTTGTAGTAGTAATAGCGGCGGTCCCTCACGCCGTCAGAAGCTAAAAGAGCACGACGTGATGGCAGCGAGGCTGCCCATGGTAGTAGTTCTACTTATACAATAATATCACTTCTGGTAACTCTCCGTACGGTCGGCGCATACTATGGCGTAATAATGACGGGAACGTAGGTGACAGTGAGATCCGTAGTTAAAAACTGAGAGCAAAGCGCTGACACTGCTACGTATGGCGCGCTCCCTGTACAACGGTGATAGAAGAATCTTAACACTAGACTGTCCTGGAAAAAAAAGATGCTTAGATAAATTCGCCGAAATACAGTCTTCTCTGCGAGTAACGAGAAAGATCATTGTCGCTATAAAGGAGAATGTACTGGTAAACGATCAACAGTATAGTATCGCATATCTGCATAATAGAGAATAATAACATTTCTTGAAGGCATGTTGAAGTTCGGAGAAACTCGTCAAGGAGGTCTTCATCTGGTAGATTGAGACAAGGGTGTGGAGCGTCTTGAAGATGACAAGTTATCCCAACATTGTTGTTAGCTAAAAAATAGAGAATCAAAATAGTGATGTTGTTATAAACTTGAAGACAGAGGCTAAAAGAGTACAGTATCCAATGCCCTTTAGCCCGTACAACTTGAAGAATTGGCGTCCTGAACTGATCCGTCCGTTATTCGACGATGGTTGGCTGTGACCTGTGACATACTATTTAGTCTTTGCGTTTTAGCTTCCGTCAGCAAAATTTACTATTTTCCTCTGCAGAACTGCTCGTCTGTTGATATAATACCAAGTGCTAGAATCGAAATATTAGGCACAATAGAATTCACTTACCTTACGAATTTCTTATGTAATCAACAACGAACATAGTGATTTAATAAATCCGTTCCAGTTTATTCGCGACCTGGCCTTGTTAGGCCATCTCTCACTTTTCTGCAGGACAATTCTCTTAGGCAGGCACGGTTCCTCACTGCGCCATCGCTTCTTGTTCAACAGCAGACGACGCGTTTGGGTTTGTGAGTTTGTCCTTGCTCGAACGTTCACCTCGCTACCGCCTCCTTCTCCATTTCCTGGTCTCAGTGACCCACTTTTCTGCGGCTAGCGTGCCAATGAAGAACATCTCGCGTTAAAGCTTTCCAGTTATACACGTGCTCTTTTTTCTGGACAAAACATCAATCAGAGAAACCCGAATCAATCGCTTACCTAGCTACAAGCATATCTAATGAGACAAACATACAATTCCGGTAAATATATGGATGAAATTAAACGTATATTAATATATTATAACGTTAGCTGAAAATGGTGATTTCATTTTGGAGATGTATTTGTGGTCGCCGGTATGAAAGCCACCATGTTATGTACCTATGTATATTGCACTAACAGTTGCACGTATTCGACAGGTCCAGTTAGTGCTAATGATAGCCATATTAGAGCCAGTCGAAAAAAAAAAAAAAATAAAGAGATTATAGACCGGTAAAAAAACATTTATTTATTATGCGCGGGTCTCAAAGCAGTGTAAAAAGGTGGGTCAATCCTAGCCTGACAACTTATGCGTGTTCTCCAACGTCTATCTATCTTAAGTAATTATCTAGCCCAAGCGAATAGTTGAATATTTGAGTTTTGGGGTTTTCTCATCACGTTTGCTTAGATGTATTGTAGCAGGTTGCATACTATTAAAGTGTGTAGACACTATTAGTAATGGTTTCACCTAGTAGATCCTCTAAACGTGCTACGATAAGCCATACAAACCATTAGTTAACGGGGCTGGACGGCATCCCGCGATTCTCTCTACGGAGGCAGGTATCGAAAACAATAATACCGTAAGTAAACGTACTACAGTTTTTCGTGGTCACACAAGCGTTCGTCACAGGCATCTGGGGGGAACCTGTCAAACATAACGGAGACTGTTAACTAAGCTTACGTTGACTGCCTAGAGCTAGCACTAGGAAGCGGTTTACTTTCGGTAACTAGGTTAGAACGTCCGACGCTAACCAACTGGCTGTGGCCTAACCGTTTTCGCACTTTTGCAGTGCGCGCCTCGTCTACGTAAGCGGCTCGTTGACCCTGTTCTTTTGTGAAAATTGACTGTGGCAATATCAGTACCATCGCTGCTGTTGTTATTGTTACCGCCGCTGGCGGCAGGGTGTCGCTGTACGCTCATGTCGCTGCTGAGCAGTGAGATCACCGCTCACTTTCAACGCCGTGTGCTGCCAGTATCACGACGACGACGACGGCGACGGCGACGACGACGACGACGATACCAGCAGGATTAGCACAGCCTCGAGGTCAGTGCGCTCGAGCTGAGGAAACTTGAACAACGCACGGAGCCTCCTAGCGGCAAAAGGCTAACGATTCTCAAGCATCTATTTCACCTTGTTTTTTTGTCCACTGACATTTATCTCATCAAAGTCAAAGTATCTGCTGACGATCAAAACAATGGCCACAAGTACACTCTTAATGACAATGAAACGTCTAATAACATCTGGGCCGATACATTTCTACAACAGACGCACAATGCTTAGCTTTATGCACGCATTTACGCTGGTACATTAATTATGAAACAGTGATTTCAAGCAAGAACAGAATATCGTCAGTTAAGCATGATAAGGATTATTGACGTTTGAGAGTTCCCATATATGTAGACAGTTTTAGCATTCGTTTGCCTTCCCTCGATCTACATTGAATGAATAATAGTACAAAGTAAAGTTGTCATACGTTTGGCTAGTCATTGCTACCTATTGATTCAAAGGAACGGTGATTTATATTATGCAGAAACATCTTGGGCACGGAAATTTCGAAATTCTAACGCAATTTGATGATCCTAACCTTGTAGTAATTACCGTGTCGAAAACCATGTGTTGGGTTCTGCCAGTCGACGAGCTCCTTTCGTATGACATCATAATCTCATATTAGTGTCATTAGGTAAGCGATCTGCATCTTGTTTAAAGCCTTCTCTGCTGTTCACGTTAAACTTGTTTTTTTTCCTATCCAGTATTCTGTTATCGTCTTCAACCCTTCGAAACCTTTCTCTTTCTACTTGTACATGCTGCAGACGGCTCACACACCCACACCCAGACCCAGACGTGCATGCACCCGATTGCCTGTGACGCAGCGAAGTTATTGCCTAGTCTGGCGGCCTGTCAGTTTAGGTAGGAATACCGTCAGATCGAGTAGGTCAGTCAAGAAGAGATTTGCCTCTTCGTGTAAATAGTCCTGCTGATACTGGCTCTGATTCGACTGCTGCAGCCACGATTCTTGGTGATGCGTCTGTGGCGTCGCCCAATTTCGCCATTTCCTCATTGAGGCCAGCCTATGCGGCGCGGCGCGCGCTGTCTGTGTTTGCCTATAACTAGCTTACTATGTACGGCTACAGCTACGGTTGATCTTGATCCTTGACAGACTGTGATGTGATCCTCCACCGTCGCGTCTCGATTATCTCGACCCACTTTATAATAGCTTGTCGAAAAACAGCAGTTATTAGTAGTACTGGCTATCTGCTGCTACCGTCGATGCTGCTACTGTGACCCTCGTCGTTCCGTAAGCGTACTGAATGATCCACCTGCGAATGGCAAGCGTGGACCCAATGGATGGTTGCGCGACATCAGTGCACATAGCGTGAGTATGTTCTAAATGTCAGATTTTTTGTCAAATTAAACTGAAACAATATGGCCGCGCTCAAGTATCTAGCAACTCTCAGTCACTACTATAGTTGCCAAGACAAATCATCCGATTACCGCCGCCAATAACGTCATCTGTTGCTCGTTGTCTAACTATTACCGTCTGCTGATGGATCACGTATTCTCACAGCGTTCTTACATGAGACGAAAAAGACTAGAAGCCGTTGAGTCGGTAGCAGCATTGACAAGCAATATAGCCGGTGTCATATCTGTGCTATTCCCCATTCCAGTGCGGTGCAGCTGAGCTACACTCTGACTCCCTGAGCGCTTTAATAACACCCGACAATGATGTGACCAACGAAGCTCCTTTTCAGAAGTGGAAGGAGCGGGCATAACAACAATAAGTTAAATTAGATTATAATGAATCACTTTGAACAATGATAACGAGGGACTCAGCGAAGGGCAAAGCCTAGGTAACCTAGAATGACAACCTGAGCCTATTAGGTTCGACGCTAAATCCTAGGCGCTCTCTATCAAGCCGGTGTTCGGCGGTTCAATTGTATAGAAAGATGACAAATTTTACACAATTGGAGAATTCTGGGTAAATTATATCATGTATTAGAAAAAAAAATTCTTTTACATTTACATTATAGAAATTACGTGAACTAGACGAACAAATTAATGATTAAAAAATCGAGGCCCGTTTAGTCTGCTGCGAAGCTATCGATTAGGGCAGATGAGGAGTCTTATACGGGCTAAAAACTTAGATACTTCACTGTTGTATACATCCATATGCTAAAATATCTATTGTTAAAGAGCCCTTTTGTCAAAATGAATTAGTTTTATAGCCATTCGCAAATAATACTTTGTTCCTCTGCCTGAAATCGATAATATTCTTGTCGTTGCATGCAACAAACTTAACGTAGATATATTTAGACGCGGCACGTTAGCAAGCCACATAAATTTCCAGTATTTAATCGCCCCCACTACGTCGCGAAATGCCCCAAGGAGAAGCAAAAGACTTGCCAGCTAGTATCGTGTCCCTACGAACCGCTTTGATTTAACAGCCCCTGTTTCCTTTTAATGGGATGCACTATAGTACAGTTAGCAGTAAGATGCTTACAAACGGCCAACTCTAATGGCAGCTTATAACCTTAGTCCGCAGAGAGCGAACGGAATGAGTGACTGAAAGTTTGATTCGGCGTTCCTCCCACCCCAACGTTATTCTCTGTACGGGAAACGAATATGATATGGAAGATGCGTTGCTACTTCTACCAGCTCAAGTTCTCGGTATGCCTGCACGTAAGTGTCTGAGGAGCGTGCGATTGATCGAAACTAGAACCTACTGAAGAAAGCAATGTTGCAAGTAATCGAATGATAAGGGAAGAGAGGGTTGTATCGGGCGTTCACCTCAAGCGCGTGTCGAGCGCGATCGAGCGGGGCAGGGAACAAGCGCCGCTGGGACAGGCGTTCACTAGCCCCCTTCCACTATCCAGAACTGCGTGGTGACGCTTTTACTCGCGGGGGCAGCACCACAGTTGTCGCCTCCTCCAGATCACAATGATAACGGCCAGCTAACACTATGCCCTATATAGTACAGAACTAGACAACTCGGGTTAAACTAGACAAACTGGCAATGACAATAGCGTATGCATAGATCGACAAATACAACACGTGGAAATCTGCTTTCGGTATCAAGAGAAACACACGCTGCGGGTCCAGCTTTGGCAGATTGATCGGTAGTAACGAATCGATAACGAAAAGGCACCGAACTCACCAAACATGGATTATGAAGTCTCTTCCGAAGATCCACTTTTCATATAAACAATTACCGTACATGTCGTTAACCATTACCAAATACCATCGTTAGAGTTAAGGGTACGCTTAGTTGATTTACAGATGTTACAATATGGCTGAAATTGGTCCGACGACAACGGCACTTACGTTAAACTACCACCCTTTCATCGTTCCACTGAAATGTAGCCTTATAACAAATGAAGACTGTGTGATTATCACAGTGTAGAACTGTTATTGTTGTTAAAGCATTGTACTCAAACGGTTATCCTTATATCTATCATCGCTATTAGCACTATTCGCAAAGTCCGCCAGTCAGCTATTCATCCAACGTAAATCTTCACGAAAACAAATCCGTTTAATCTTCATCTTCGTCACACCGCTAATTAATCCCTACGTTGGTTCAATTTTGATGCACATGTCGATGTACGATTCACAAATATCTACTCCACGGGACTCTACGTCCATTCCATGATATTTGCCTTTACAGAAGAGAGATGAAGAAACAAAGCGAGTGCTACAATGGCGTGTAGTTAGGTGATGCCCACGAACTCGCCGACAGTGGCACACGCCTGACCCAGTTATTGTTGTTATCGTTACTGTTATTATAGTTAGTTGTTATGCCGTGACACCAGCAGCAGCGATGGCATTACGTGCACCGAGATCGGACTAGGCTGGATGGATAGAGTATTACCGTAGTGGTCGCGGTCGGAGTGCTAGTAGCACTACCACTGCTACGGGTAATAATGGTAACTCAACAGACGATCGTGGGGGAAGACCGGGGCGACAAGGGGGAGAGGGGTGTTAACAACTCAATCAGCAAAAGCAACAACAGAAACAACGGTCCCTCGGCGAACTTTTACTCCCGCTTCCGTTGGGGATGATGCCTTTACCACAAACATCTGTTACTCGAAGATTTACTTGATAATCCTTATGCGCTATAGTGGTGGCATTGTTGATGTAGCTGCAGTTGCTAGGTGGAAACGAAAAGTCAATCAGACTAGTGGAGAAAAAGGTCTGAAGACTAACAAAGACAAAGTCAATCAACAAATACAGTGATTCAAGCTGAGGTCGTTTGGCACGCCGGCTGTGACATAACACTGACGCACAACTGCAAGGTAATGTAATTGTCTATAAAAGAGATTTGTTCAACTATTCATTTCAGGCCATATATCGAAATGAAGATGCTTCCCAACCGACTGGAACCATGATTCGTTAAGATTCGAAAAACACTTTGCATAGTGTCTCAAAGCCCATGTAAATGGTTCTTCAAGGTTCTTCATCGTGTTTCACTTTTTTGTGTGCATGATACGGTTATTTCTCCGGATTTGTTTACGGTTTGGCTAAACACTTCCTAAATTGCTGCTATTTGTTGTACTAGTAAAGGTAGAAAGTAACGAAAAGGACATAACAATAGGTTGAAAAAATGTCCTACTTTTTAGCATCACGTCCTCTGAACTCACTCGGAGTAGGTCAAACTATATAAACTAATGCCTATGCTCTCTCAGGAAGGCTGGTTGGTGGGCGATGAATTCAGTGGCTATTTAGTGTGCTTGCTTTTCTGGCGCAGAGTCCTCCCGAAGGATTTTACTCTGGCCCCTTTAGCCCATCCAGTCCTAGTTCGAGGTCATTCCAAGCAGAATCTCCTACTCTTTTTACCCTGAGCGCTTTGCTCTTGTTATGACGGGTGCTAGCGTTTTTTCTCCATTCACCCCGTTCTGAACACTTACGTCCAGGCCCCGTCTGACCCGCGTCGTTGTTTCCTTGAGGCAGTCGCGAAGCGATACTGCCAAGCACTAATGACCCTT